ATAAGGTAATAAACGTAAGCCAGCACATACTTCATCCACGAAATGTGTATCTCAGCACCACCTAACGCAGTGACACCATTCAAGTGTGAGGATGAAGCTTCAATTATTAGCACTGCTGATGGATATTTTCAGGAACTGTACAGATCAAGTAGCAAGACTGATTTTGAGGATAAAAAGATAATGAAGAACTGCACTAAACATGTACTTCCTGTAGTTTATTTCATTCTTATGTATTTGCTAAATTCAGATTTGAAGTTAGATATAAATTTGTTTAAAAATAAGGTACCTTGCCAATCATAATTTCATTGTGATGATTATCTCCGTACAAGTCAGATGTGTCAAAGAAGGTGATACCCTTATCAAAAACTCCTTTATAATTGAACATTCAACATCATGTGACAGAGGAGCATTATATATTCCATAAAGTCCACCGCATCCAAAACCTAATCTAGAAACCTGCAGACAAAGGACACCATCAGACAGATATTGTGTCCTTTCTTTGATAAAGTATAATTGCTAAGGTACTTACTCGGCCTATAATCGAATTTTCACATGCATGGTCTAATTGGACAAATAATCATGAACAAAACTTGCAAATTTCACTGTTTCTTATGCATGAAGTTGCTAACGTGGGGGATTTCTTTAAAGTTGACAATTACTTGCATAAAAGCAGGAGCAAGAATAAGGTATAGCTGACAAAAACTCAGTGATATGATTAAATTAGGTACCCTTCTTAGTAGTAGATTGTGTGAACTTCACCCAAAATCACATATTATATAACTCCTATGTTTTTATCTCAAGTACAATTTATATAATCGAATTTGGAGGGGTGTTTAAAAACATAAATTTTCACAATTTTAATAGCAATTCAGTGCAACTTCTCCTTCTGTTTTCAATATTATGAAAGCACTTTTTTGCTTCTTTTATCTTTGTCTGCATAAATTAAAACTCTATACTTCAAGTTAACTAAGAATGTTCTGCTGCGGTTTTTAATGCCAAAAAGTGTGGTATCCAAACAAGCCCCGAGTAGTTCAAACTATAACTTTATGCAGTTCCATGGACATGAATGTGGCATTAAAGGAACATTTGGCAATGTGTCAAACAAACTTCTAAGAATATCATGACTCATGAGGTGACAAGGGGAAGGGGTTTAGTAGAGTTACCTCAGGTTTAATTGTGTAGGAAAGCTACTTATAAGCTAAGAAAGTTCACCAAACAGCAGACAGATAGTGTGCGAAAAGCTGAGGACTTGTATTTGAGTAAACAGAAAGTTTTCCCAATTATTGCCTAATGGTCATATTGGCTTAATCAGATAGCCTACAATTTGAATATCCTATAGCTTCAATTTTAGATACACAAGATCGGCTTGTAAATGCCGTTTCTTTTTTATTAATCACCAGAAATGTTAGTCATTTTTTTCCTATTAAGATACTTGACAATTTTTATTCAGCACATGAGTAGTTTCCTTGTGATAATGGTTAAATGAAGTGCCCTTCTTAGTAATAAAGTGTATGAACTTCAGCGGAAATCACATATTATCTATCTAACTCCTAAGTTTTAATAGCAGTTCATTACACAACAGAAAAAGCAGGTTTTTGTTGGTGTTTTAAGTTTGAATTGACCACTTCTCTTTCTCTTTTAAATTCAATTTTATTTTATTTTTTTATTATTATTATTTTTTTTATCTTGGTCTGCAAAAATTATACTTCAAGGTAACCAGACAATCTTCAGCTGCAGTTTCTAATACAAAACAGTGTCGTATCCAAACAAACCCCGAGTAGTTCAATCTATACAGTTAATCATATGGTGTAACAAAGAGAAGGACTCAATTAAAATTAACTGGGATTTATTTTGTGTAGAAAAGCTTATTATCACCTAACAAAGACCACCAAACAGCAGACTCATAATGTGCAAAAAACTGAGGACTAATCTTTGGGAAAACAGAAACTTTTGCCGATTATTGATCCCTAAAACCCAAAGTGCCTAAGAGAGAAAGGAAAAGAAAATATGAATTTACTTGTCATACTTTATTATTTTATTTTTACCTCCAAACCTTGAATACCCAATTTCACTCTTGGGACTTGGATCCGGGACTTCTGCTCCATTCCTCTCCCACTTGGTTGAAGCTGATTCAATGAAAAATAAAATATTGACCCTCCAATTTATATGAGGGAAAGGAAAATAAAGGAAAGAAAGCAAGGGAAAAGAAAAATATACTTGAAAAGAGAGAGTGATGGAAAAAGAAGATCACGAAAGAAAAAGGAAGAGAAAAATAAAGGAATATCAAGAGAGAACCTCTTCCTTATTAAATTGATATTGCCTAAAATGATAGATTGAATTAAGATGAAATAATGAAAGTCCTCTAAGTAATCAAAGAAAGGCAATGCAAAGCAAGTGACATCACAGTTTGGTAAAGAAGAAAGAGACTGATCAACTCACAGCGATGGTTGTTGACTGTTGATACTTGTTGCCCCTCCATTTGCCTGCCAATTTACCTCAAACCACAAAAATCTTAGTTTTCAATCTATGGACCATGGATGCAGACAAGGATACCTCCCATGACAAATTTTTAAAAAGTAGAACACCTGTATAGACTTTTTAAATAATGTCACAGGTCTCTACACGCTGGTTTAAAGGGACCTAAATAAATATTACTTCAAATTACAATTCCAATATACTCCAAGACTTGTCTTTTTCATGTGTGGTCTTCTTTACGTCTACAGGAAGACATGTTATCAAGTCATTGCCACGTTAGTTATCTAATAAGATGGGAAGAAGAATATATAAGAATATATAAAAATATTCATATTGCTTTTGGGAGTGATGAAATCGTGTTTTATTTTAAATTCAAAATATCCAATTAATACTTTCAAACATAGCATCACAAAAGTTTAGCAAATTATAAAAAGTAAAAACACAATAAGGTCTCGTTTGGGGGAGCTTTTTTATATTAAAAGTCCTTCATTAATAAGGTCTACCTCAAAAGAATTTTGTTGAAAGAAAATCATAAGAAAAAGATTTTTGGTGAGTACATTTCTTAAATTTAATTTAACTTATTATTTTCTTCCTGACAAGAATATCATTTATTTTTAACAATTATTGCAAGCCTCCAATAATAAGTGTGAAGGCGGCAGTGATGGAAGATGATGGCAATGTTGGTGGCAGAAGGCAATTTGCGATGGTGGTGGAAGGTGGTGGTTGAGGGGGGTGGTGGTGGAATATGACGATGTTGGCAGTGGTGGAAGGTCGCAGTTGAGGGTGGCGGCAGCGGTGGTGGTAATGGTGGAAGGTAATGATGGGTATGGTGGTGGTGGTAGAAAGTCACAGTGGCGGTAGAAGGTGGTAGTGGTGGAAGTTGGTGGTGGTTGGTGGCAGTTGTAGTGGAGGGTGATAGTGGCGGTTGTGGTGGAGGGTGGTGGTGGTGGAAGGTCATGTTAGCGGTGAAGGGTGATGGTGGCGGCAATGATGAAAGGTGGCGGTGGCGACAATGATGAAAGGTGGCGGTGGCAATGTTGGTGGTGGTGGAAGGTCACGGTGACGATGGTGGTGGCAGAAGGCGATAGTGAAAGGTGGTGATGGAAGACAGTGATGGAAGGTGACGTTGGAGGTGGTGGAAGGTCACAGTGACGGTGGCGGTGGCGGTGGTGGTGGAAGGTGGTAGTGGTGGTGGAGGGTGTTGGTGGCAGTGGCTATGGTGGTGGTGGAGGGTGTTGGTGGCAGTGGCTATGACGGTGGTGGAAGGTCACGGTGGTGGTGGTGGTGGAAGGTGGTGGCAGTGGTGCAAGGTGGCAATGGTAGTTGTGGAAGGTTACGGTGAAAGTGGTGGAAGGTGGTGAAACAAATATATGTCAATATTATCAATCTACAAAAAGTATATGGACAAATTATTAAAATAACAAATTTATCTTTAAAAAAATTCAATTCTTAAAGTTAGGTTTCAAAAACAACATTTTCTTACTTATTTAAAATGGGTTTCCTACCATTGGCTTTTGGAGAAAGTTCTTTACACGTGTAAATAATGTCATAGTTTTTTTCAAATGAGCTTTTCAAATTGACTTTTTTAGGCGTAAGGAAGCTCAGCAAACATGCCCTAATAACCCAAAAAGCTTAGATTAGTCCAGCTTTATATGGCCCATGGGTATCAAAGCCCCACAGTCAAAGGCTATTAGCCTCATTAACCAGTATCATAGGCCCAATAGATCTTATTAAATCTCAACATAATAGGACCGGTAAATTGAATTTAGAAGCCCAAGAAATAATCATAAAACCGGGAAATAAATGACCATAAAATTAAAATATATATGGCCATAAACATTAATAAATAAATTTCTGTACAATTTAAAAAATCAATGGGTTTAAACATGAAAATAAAAAAAATCAATGGCTTATATCGTGAAACAAAAGTTTTTAGGTAGATAATTTTAAATATAAATTCAACTTGAATTAAGAAAATTGATTTGAAGAATGGATCATGTTAGACTTGATTTGAAGGTTTTTCAGCCCCAAGAATTTTGATTTCTTGATAAAATTTTATGAACTTACAAAATGTTCTTTATATTATGATAAGTTTCATATTATTCAAACCAAATTAGGAAATTAATAAATAGGGGAAACAATTATTTATTTTTTAATTAATTCAACTACCCTTTTTGTTTTTCTTATTTATTATTTTCTTAGATTTTGTGATTGGATATATCAACGTGAGTAGACAGTATTATCCAAAATATAAGATAATAATTTTCAATAATTTTTTTAAAATTCTTTTATACTAACTAAAGATAGGATGGAAAATTGTTTTTACTCGCGCACGCAGCATACTACATATATATATATTATTGGCTTAAACAAAAATATCAAATCTCGCAAATTTTAACAGGATAAGATTCTTACCACCGGAAAAGATATCAAATCCGCAATTTTAACAGGAAAGAAGGGCATTTTGGGCAATCAATCTTCACTCTCGATTGTCAACCGCCTTTTTAAGATCGTTGTACTCTCTTTCTCGTCTTCTCGCTTCCTCTCTCTGTCCGCGTTTACAGAACCATTGATTTTAGGGTTTGTGATTTTTCGGATCAAGAACAAAGGAAAATGCTTGCTGTTTTCGACAAATCGGTTGGCAAGTGTCCCGAAGCTCTTCAGAGCCCGCATTCGGAGTCGGTCTGTGCACTGAAAGATGGGTTTCTGGCTCAACACTTCTCCTCCGTACACCCTGGTGCGGTGACCATCAACCTCGGTTCTGCAGGTGTCGTGGCCTACTCCATCGACAAACAGAACCCTCTCCTCCCAAGGTTCAATGCTCATTTTCCCGATCTGGGTTATTTCTCGTTTTTATGCTTGATTTGATCATTCTATTTCTTGATTTGATATATGATGTTTTGTCATGATCTTGCTTTTATATTGGTGTTTTTGGTGACATTTTTTATGGTATTTTGTTCTTTCTGCAAAAATCCGTATTCAAGGTTCATCAATATCTTGATTAATTAATTTGTTATGTTTTGATATTATACCTGTTTAAATATTGTATCCCAGATTACTTTTTATTTTTGGAGTTTTGTTCTCATTCTGTGGGATTTTAATTTGGCCTATATGATGGATGATGTGGTACTGAAGCATATAATCCAGATTTGAAGGTTTTATTTCTCTTTATTTTCACGTATTTCAGACTATTTTATGTTATCAGTTAATGGGTTGATAATGACAACATCTGGTTAAGGTCAATTGTTTGGGTATTTCTTTATTGTTGCGCCCCACTTGTTTTGAAGTGTTTGGATGTTCTCTAAAATATAATCACCCCTTCAGTATTCCACATGAGTTTTGAGAAGATTCCTATTGGCTTCAAGTTTTTTGTTGTTGGTTCTGCCACACACCCACTTTGTTCATACCATCACATGTTATTCGGATGGACAGCTAAATTTATTTTTCTATTTCCATAATGCTTGACAATTGAACCCTTATAGCGCTGCCTGATGATGAGAGTTATGGTATATTCTTTTACTTCTATTTTGGGTTCAGTGGTCATACTATGGTCATTTTTGGACATGCTGAGGATGTGCGTTTGGGAGGCATTTAAATAGAAGAATTAGGTCGATGTGGAGAGTGATACCTAATCGCTGTTGGTGGACTGTTTGTTAGGTGTATAGCAGGCTGACTTTTGAGGGTGAGCCGGTGAGTAGCTCCCAAGTGACAAGTTGAAACATTTGATTTCTAACTCTTTGTTCCTATCATATGGCTGTCTGGGAGACTTTTACTTTAACTCTCTTACATGTTTCGGATGAGATGTGTGGTTAGTAGGGTCATTTTATGGTCTATTCTTTTGCTTCTATTTTTGGTTCAGTGGTCATACTTTGGTCATTTTTGAACATGTTGAGGATGTGTGTTCAGGAGGCATTTAAATAGAAGAATTAGGTCGATGTGGAGAGTGATACCTAATTGCTGTTGGTGGACTGTTTGTTTGGTGTATAGCATGCAGACTTTTGAGGGTGGGCCGGTGAGTTGCTCCGAAGTTACAAGTTGAAACATTTGATTCCTAACTCTTTGTTCATATCATATGGCTGTCTGGGAGAGCCTTTTACTTTTCTCTCTTACTTGTTTCAGATGAGATGTGTGGTTATTAGGTTCATTTTATTTTTTGCTTTTATGGTCCATATATACTTGGCTTTTGCACCTTTAATTAGCTTTATTTACACCTTTTACTTAAAAGAAGAAGAAAAGAGAATGTTGTTGATTTCATAGCTGCTTTCAATCAGAAAGGAAAAAAAAAAATTTCAAACCTACAGTTTTGCTTTTCCTTTTTTTTCTTTCGTTGATATTACAAGTTCTGTTAGTTAGCCTATGTGGTCTGATTGACATGATAATGCCTCTGCTAGATTGTTTGCTGTTATGGACGACATGTTCTGCTTGTTTCAAGGCCACATCGAGAATGTTGCTCATCTTAAGCAACAATATGGATTAAACAAGACAGCAAATGAAGTGATTATTGTCATGGAAGCTTACAGAACTTTGAGAGATAGAGGTCCTTATCCTGCAGATAAGGTTGTGAGAGATTTCCATGGAAAATATGCATTTATTCTCTATGATAGCTCTTCAAAAGCTGCATTCATAGCTGCTGTGAGTACTTCCCTCTCAGCATATCTTATAACCCTTCAATTTTATTAGTTCCTTCTATCATATCTATACTTTTTTATAACCTAAATTTATATTTACTGATTTTAGGCAGTTTTCACTGGGCTCACTTCTAACCTCATGTTATACAGGATGCTGATGGGAGTGTCCCCTTCTTCTGGGGAACTGATTCTGAAGGCCATCTTGTTCTTTCAGATGATGCAGAGACAGCGAAGAAAGGCTGTGGAAAATCCTTTGCACCATTTCCCAAAGGTATAAGCACTTACATTAATTTGTATTGAATAGTGCCATGAGTATATAAATTATATTCCTATGTGGTTGAACATTTTTCTGTGAAGTTGCTGCTTTTTAGACTACTTGGCTTTGCAAATATGGATAAAGCTAATGGTTACAAGCATTAATATACTTTGAAATTTGTTTTTGGCTATTTTTGGCGGCACCGAAACATAACATAAATGAATTTGGAAACAATGCAATTTTGCATCAGAAACTACCAAGAAGCATAAGGGAATATTGGGTGAAACTTAGTCTCCACAGTAGTATGTGTCTCACGTGCTTCCATTCCATTTTTATTCCTCTTTCTCAAACTCATTTACCAGTTTTCCATATTTGGTTTAGATTTGAGGGTTCATGTCTAGGTTTCATCTTAGCCAACCCCAATCCCCTTGTAGTTTGGATTAGTACTAGTGATTTCTTGCGTAGCTTTTATCATCCATTTCACTATCTCATAGCTCAGGTCTTTTCTGTGTAATTTTTATTTTGTGAATGGATTACTCAATCTGCCAATTCTTCCATATCACTATATTTTAGGTATGTTTTCCCTGTGAAATTGTATTTATTTTGCATAATCTACACTCTTTATATGTGAATAGATTATTCAATCTGCCTATTCCTCCATTTCACTATATTTTAGGTAATTTCTTCCCTGTGAAATTGTATATATTTAGCATAATTCACACTTTTTATTTTGTGAATAGACTACTCAATCTGAATAATCCTCCATTTCACTATATTTTAGTTAATGTTCTCCCTGTGGAATTGTATATATTTAGCATAAATAGCTTCCTCTTATCTACCCTTTTCTTCTTGTTCTCCTTAGGGTGCTTCTTTACAACCTCTGGAGGCTTGAGGAGCTTTGAGCACCCTCTTAATGAGTTGAAGCCAGTTCCGAGGGTGGACAGTTCAGGCCAGGTGTGCGGTGCAACTTTCAAGGTGGATGAGGAGTCTTCCCGGAAGGAAACTGGCATGCCTAGGGTTGGGAGTGCTGCAAACTGGTCTCAAAACTACTGACCATATAACATCTCTATTATGGCAAGGTCTTTGTTATTAGTTGGCCTTCCATCTGTTCATTTTTCATGCTTAGCTCTTGATGACTGCTGCTTTGATGGAAACTTTATGTTTGGAGGAACTAGTATAAGAAGTAAACTGAGACGCGCTTAATGTGGGCTATACACAATGCTTACTGTTTCATTTCATTCTGATACGTCAAACTCAAAAGACTTTTTTAGGGCCCCAAAACATATTGAATGGAATAATACTACTTTTCATATAGTCTTACTGATGTGTAGCAATATAATTGTTGGATGGTTATTTTCCGAAGCAGCATATTGTCTAGGACCCTTCAAACTGATATTACTGTGGCAAAAAAATGCCAGCTGCTTTTTTTGAAGGCAATGGACAAATAGTCGGATGCTATACCCCGTACAACATTGATTCATGAATGCATGCAGGGGTGATAGTTGTATTGTATGAATGCAAATGGTTTTTTGAAGGCATGGATTGTTGATAGTCTGAATGCTAAACCTTAACATTAATGTATCCCTGCTATTTATTCGAAATATATGCTTTTGTCAAGAACCAGCTTTAAGCACTACTATGGTGGAAAGTATAGAATACTCCGGTGGTTGCCCGGTCAATGGAGAGTCAATCATTTGTCTCAATTGGTAAGTGGGTATTGTATACTTTCTTGCAATGGTGATATTCTTAGGTAGGTGGAAAATTATTCATGAATGTAGGGTGATTGTATTTTGGTCTGCTATAACTCATGTATTATTGGCAGAACGCCACTAAAATGTCATTATTAAAACTCATTGTGTGCGGTGGCAGGATGTTAATGCTCGATGGTTTATATAATGGCAAACTTGAGACATTTATGAAACCTTTTAACCATAATGAAAAAGAGGAGGGAGCAACAAATATTGGGGATATAATTTATATGTGTGTGTGGAGATTGCGGTATATGTTGCGGATGACGATTATCGACCGTCTAAACATGGTGGAAATATTAATAAAAAGTTATTGATTGAAATGCAGATCTTTAAAGCAAACCCTTGATAGATATGACTCACAAATTTCTATCGGGCACTCCGTTGTAAAGAACAAGTATTTAAAATTTTTAATTGAATTTGATAGACTGTTCCAAAGCTCAACGCTCGGTTTATGAGTCAAGTCAACTGTGGAAGGATTGCACTGTTTTTGCAATCCAAGCAACCCAAAAAAAGGAAAAAAATTTAGAGGGTAGGAGATTTAATTCTTGATGGATGTTGAGATTTTTTAATAATATATTAATACCATGATTTTTTCAATTAATTTACTCCACCAAATACCAATGATATAGATGGGTTCTGATGTTGCTGAATGTGCGTGAGGTGGACATATGGTACGTGACTCTGTCCAAGGCAATTATGCCGTGGTTAGTGGTGCTTGTGTTTGCAAGAAAAGATATAGAACAATGATTGCATCATGCGGGCGGAGGATGAAGTCCATCCTCCGCACTGACGTGGCCTCCTATCTTGTTGACATCTGTATAAAATAAAAAATAATAAAATATGGACAATGCCCATTTATCCGGGTTAAACCCGTTCCTCAAAATCAATATCTTCTCTTTCTCAATAACTCATCTCTCTCAACCGCCACCGTCAAATCCTCCTCCCCAGCCTCTGCCGCCCTCAAAATCAAATGGGCTCAAATGGACACCACCAACGACGACTCCAGTACCACCACCAATATTGGTGGCTGTGCTCCAGTACCATCATCCGAAGGCAAACTCGCCACTGCCAGCACGCCGCAAACCACCCCATCGCGGCTGAGTCCTCTCCACAGCCCGTCGCCCACCGCTGCAAAAGCTCGCCGTCGCCGTTTCGCTCCCATCCGAGCACTACCGAAGTTCATCCACAGCCCATTTTGCTCGCTGTTCTGTTAATCGTCGGCGTGCACAAGCCGCCGTCGCCAACGCCGAATCCGTCGCCGCAAACCACCCCATCGCCGCTGAGTCCTCTCCACAGCCCGTCACCCACCGCTGCGAAAGCTCACCGTCGCCGTCTCGCCCCCATCCGAGCACTGCCGAAGGTCGTTGTCATACTGGGTTCGGCAAATCACGGCTGTTCATCGACCTCGCCACCCGATTCTTCCCCTCCGAGGTCATCAACTCCGATAAAATCCAAGTCTACCATGGACTCGACATCACCACAAACAAGATCCCAATGCGCCAACGACTCGGAGTCCCGCACCACCTGCTCGGCGAGTTCGACCCAGATGAACCCGAGTTGACCCCCTCCGAGTTCCGCTCACTCGCCGCCTCCACCATCTTGGACGTAGCCTCGCGCCGAAACCTACCCCTCATCGTAGGTGGGTCCAATTTCTTCATCTACGCACTCATCTCGAATCGATGCAACCCTGATTCGGACGTTTTCGACGATTCATGAAGAACAGATTCAATTTGTGCGGACCTCCGTTACGATTGTGGCTTTTCTATAGGTGGATGTCTCTTTGCCGGTGTTGAATTTGGATGGGTATGTTTTAAAACATACCATCTCCGTTGCGATTGTTGCTTTCTATGGGTGGATGTCCCAAAACTTTCGTGATTTTGAGGGCGGCGGGGGAGGAGGATTTGACGGTGGTGGTGTGGTGGTTGAGAGAGATGAGTTATTGAGAGAGAGAAGATACTGATTTAGAGGAATGGGTTTAACCCGGATAAATGGGCATTGCCTATATTTTATTATTTTTTATTTTAGACAGGTGTCAACGTGATAAAAAGCCACGTCAGCGCGGAGGACCCGTAGGATGCAAGCATTGTCCAAAGATATATTTGTCAGGCTCATCTGTGTACAGTGCTCACATGGTCCTTGTTCTCCGCCTTTGTTGGCTCTTTGGCAGTCTCTTTGGACAGCTGGTTTACAAATTATGATTTTTTATCTTCTGCGGTGGGAATGCTTAGTTGACATTTTGTTTTGGTTTTACGTGGTTTGTGGATCTTTTGTTTTGTTGGGCTGTTCAGTTGTGTTTGCTTTAATTATGATTCTTGTGTTGTTGTTTTATTTCTTGTAAATACTGTAGGGTGTTTCTATTACCAGAAAATATATATATATATATATATATCAATGATTTAGAAGAAAATCTAATAATTTCTCTAAAAACACTTTTGAACTCCAAAAACGAACAGAAGACAGGTTTTTTAAAAGCCATTCCAAACCGGCAGTGGAGTTAGCTCATTAATTTAAAAGAATTCTAATGACAAGTAAATTACAGTTACGGTCTAATTTCGTATAAGGACTTTAGACCAGAATTATACCCGATCACGGCTTATCTGTTTGAAATGACCAAATGAACCTTAATTGCGTTTACTTCTGATCCCTCCCGTACAGGTGGTTCAATGAACTTGGACTAGGCAAACATAGAACAAATGGGTAGTTTAGTCTTTTCAGTAAATTCTACGCCCCCCGGCATGAATCTAACCGATTCAACAGAACGAAAAATCTAGAGGGTCTCGCGTCGCCTTAAAGCTCAGAAAGATTGGACTCTGAGACGCGCACCCACACACACATACAGAGGCAATATCATAAATGGGTTCTGCATGCAAGGTAATCTTCAAGCTAGATTCTTTTTCATCTATCAATTAGGGTTTTGAATAGCTTTTGAAGGTTTCAAGTTTTTTTGTTTGTTTCTTGATGAATAGGTTCATGTTTGTTTTAATTTCAGTACGTGTTAAAACTAAAATTTCCAATTGAAACTTGTTAATAATGACAGCCTTTATTCACAATTTGATTCTATAGTTGGATTAATCGCTATATATGTATATGTGTATCTGTGTAATGATGCGCGTTAGATGAAAAATTGGTTCAATTGATACATAAACCTTGTGGAAAAATCTGTACTTTGCTTGAGATCACTTGATCGATTGAATAATCCATTTCGTTATAGGATTGATTCGAATATTGTCTGCATAATTGTTATGTTACCGATGTTATATTGTTATATGTATTTCCTAGAATTGCTATTGGAAAAAGTATTAATGAGAACCTTCAAAAATAAGTGGAGTTTCAGTTTTATGATAGAAACTGTGCAACATCACAAAAATTCAAAAAACTGTTTTCATTCAAAAATCAAATGAAACATTAGCGATCTGAAATAATTCAAATATGGGCTAAGCATATCGATTTTGTTTTCTGAAAACCGTTTATAAGTTTTGGTAAAATGATCTTTTTATCTTGCTACCATAATATTTAAATTATAAGGAAGATTTTTATTATGGGGTATCCAAACTTAATATGACAGGTGTTAATGAGTGTAATTTGTCCATGGTGAATATAATAATAATAAGCAATTCTGGTGTTATTAGATCAAATACGTCTTCATGGGATACTCATTAGCTGAACTTTTTTAAATTTTGTTTTTATGCATGTGTGTGTTGTAAGTTGTCCAGTGAGAAGCATGCCAGATTGATCTCTACATACTGAATGAACTGCTATATTTTAACTAAAGGTGTTTGAGGCCGTTTGAGAAGAGAAATATATGAGTCAAAAGATCTAGTTTTGTTGGAGTTGTTTCTTAGCCTCGTTATAGTTGTCAATACTTGTCTTGTTTTTCTGTTATAAGGGAATTGGCAGTGATTGTGTTGTTTAAACAAGGGGTTTCGTGTATAGGGAACTTGCTTTGTTGGATTTGGCAGGCATGATGTTCTTAGGATTTTTTATTGTGTGTTAGGTGGAGATAAGGTAATAGTGTGATCAGTGTCATTGGCCTACTCGTGGTCCCATCATCATGATTCATGATTTTAGCCATATTTGACTTTTTGTAGTTTCTTTTATTGAATTCATTTCTACTGATGCAAAAATAGAAGAAATGAGAAAAAGGATATTGCACTAATGCATCTTTCTCTAAATTATTGTTTCATACAGGATGTCAGGGAAGAAGTCATTCAGGCATGGTATATGGATGACAGTGATGAAGACCAGAGACTTCCCCATCACTGTGATCCCAAGAAATTTGTATCCCTAGATCAGCTTTCTGGTATGCATTTCTTAAGTTAATGTTTCAGATAAACAACCCTGTGAAAATTTTAATTTATACCTTGTAAGCCGTTATGTCGACTTTGCAGAACTTGGAGTACTCAGTTGGCGTTTAGATGCTGATAACTATGAAACGGATGAGGAATTGAAGAAAATTCGCGAGGACCGTGGATACTCTTACACGGTTTGTTCAACAGCTCATATTGTTTATTCATTTATCTGTTTTTCCATTATGCAGCTTGTTCTTATCTTTGTTTAAAACAAAATAGAATAAGGGTAAACAGATGATGACATTACCAATTAGACTAGTAGACAACTGTTTGCCCTCAAGTGTTTGACCAAAGGCCATCTATTTGCTAGAGAGTTGGCTTAACAGGGTGCAAACTTCTTGTTCAGGACCTTATTGAAGTTTGCCCAGAGAAGCTACCCAATTATGAGGAGAAGATAAAGAACTTCTTCGAAGAACATCTTCACACTGACGAGGAGATCCGCTACTGTGTGGCAGGAAGTGGTATGCTTATCTATATTTGAAGCTGAGTTTGTAGTTCCCACTCTTCCTACCAATTTGGGACTTAAAATTTGTTTACTTCATTGTGAAGGTTATTTTGATGTGAGGGATCGAGATGATGCTTGGATCCGTGTTTGGGTAAAGAAAGGGGGAATGATTGTCTTACCTGCTGGAATTTATCACCGTTTCACGCTTGATACAGACAACTATATCAAGGTACTTTATCAAATGACATGGGTGCTTGATCATACACACCAAAAAGATGTAGTTTTTTTCAAGAGGGCCATGTTACCATGTTAATTAATGCTCGTTTTCAATATATTTGGGATCTAGGGGTTTCTTATTTCCTTCATCATGAAATCTTGATCATATTTTTAACATATCATATAGAGGTCTTGTTCTGTGGTTAGATCTTGGTGGGTTGACCGGACAGAATCACCTGTCACTGATCTGGCTGGTCCATCCAGCATTTGTTTCAATAACACAGGAAAAGAAAGTAGTTGGGTTGGGCACCATGTAGTACTTTTTACCTATCAATAGGAAAAAGTGAACTTCTATTCTTATGTCTTTTCTCATGGGTAATTGACTCTATTTCCCTTCTTTTTTAATTGTTTAGATGATTTATTGAGTAGGAAGGTCGTTAACAATAAATCTGCATTTTTAGTCCAGGGATATTGGAGTGATTAAATAACAATATTATCATCTTTTTGATGTGTTATACGATTTAATAGTGGAAGAATTGTGATTAAAAGAGTTATAATAAATATACTTTTTTCTATACTTGTAACCCAACAGTGTCCTTGCCAATATTCATGTGAGATGTAATTTAAGTAGGGCGTCATAGTAGTTTATGGAGCTAGGACTTGTTAAATGTGACCTACAACTTACGCTGAGTTTGGTAGGAGGGAAGGAAGAGGGAGGGAGGGGCTAGAGGAGGGTTGGAGCAAGTCTCCATTATTTGGTACATGGGAGAGCTGGTAAGAAGGGAAGGATGGGTGGATCGTCGATGGAGCATCATCTTGGCCTACCATTTTTCAAGTCTTCATAATTGGATGAAAGAGATGAGGGAAGAGAATGGTAATTAATGTGTAAAACGTAAAATAAGATTATTACCCCTTATCAGTTAAATTATATAATGAGAGGGTATAATGATAAGAAAAATATATAAAACCCCTCATTCCTACCCTCTTACCACACAAGGGAAGATGTTACATGCTTCCACTCTATGTTACGTGGACTCAAGTACGGGTGTCGGACATGAGAATGTATTCTTGCGCCGGACGTGTCAAATCTCCAAATAGAAGGACACACGGACACGGCTAAATATTCATTTTATTAATTATTTTATTTTATTTTCTAGAGTAAAGTAATGTTTTTATCTAATATAATGTTCAATATAGGCATTTAACTCATTTTAAAGTAATAATATAATGTAATTGAATGATTGGATATACTTTTTAAGTGCATGTCCAACTAAAAGTGTCGACCACATATGCCATACCCATGTCCGAGGGATATGTGTCCGACACGAGTACTACACTACTTTTGAAGACTCCATGTAATAGAACTTCCACTCCCTTCCATTCAACTAAACAAGGGGGTGATGACACCTTCCTTTCCCTCGGGTGCCTCAAAATGCTGTTCTTTGAAACTCTTTTAACTTGGTTATTTGAGAATGAATTTTAAAGAACTGTGAACCAAACAAAATTTCATATTGTTTTCTCCTCTCTCTCTCTCTCTGGTTCTTTGGGAACAAAAAACTATTATTAGAAAACTGAATCGAGCGGGCCTTTAGTTCCTTCGGATTTTGATGCAACTCAATACTATATCACTATAATTGTGTGGTGGATGCCATAGGTTGAAGTTGACTTAAGTTATTTTTTGTTGTGTAGTTACTCTTTTGTTAGTATCCAAATCTATTGGTCCTGGAAGGGCTTGAACTGAATTTTGAAAATCCACTCATCTTTAATCATATTAATACTAAGAAAAAAGTGAAATATTTTTGCATTTTTTGTAGGCAATGCGACTGTTTGTCGGCGATCCTGTTTGGACTCCGTTCAATCGTCCTCATGATCATCTAGCTGCAAGGTATTTTAGCCTTATTTTTTCGTTTTTCTTTTCTTATATTGGTAGCAGTGTCTGCTTTTAAACATGTTAGACAAATTATAAATATTTTGAAATTTCCGCTTAGTTAAAAAAGTGTTTTTATTTGCAGGAAAGAGTATCTTGAAGCTTTTGTTCAGACTGGAGGTGGAAGTCATGCTGTTGATGCTGCAGCTTGAAATGTGTCGCTGCTTTTATAACATATCCATGAATTTATAAGTGTGTATGCTTAAGTTGCTTATATGGGTTGGCTTGCCGGCTTAGTCTTTTACATGCAACTGGCATAAAATTTAATCTCAGTTTGTTTTATCATTATGTCCTTAATATGGAATTGTGTGATGTAAGCTTGCTTTTGTGAATGGAATATGTATGTTGATCTAGATATACGGTTCTGAGGGAGAATGGTCTTTTTCGAACCTTAACTTTTCATTTGAGGGAAGGTGGAAATCTAAGGGTTAGTTTGGTGTGGTGAAATGAAATAAAAGAAAGTAGAATGGAATGGCTATTCTGTTTGGTGTCAATTTTAAAGTTGGAATCATTATTTCCTATTATTCTTGGAGAATGGTCATTCTATCAAAATCATTTTACTTTTCAATAAAAAGAATGATCATTCCTACCTCCATACTCATTCCATTCTCATTTTTATTTTTATTCCATTCCAATTCATTCTATCACACCAAATTAGCCTTAAGAGTAAAAAAAGATCTTATCTTTAAGTAAAAATAAAATAAAATAACTTTCTTTTGTATTTGATTTATATACTTCGAAACTACCCATAACTTTACACCATTGTTTTAGTTATAATGAGATTTGTCTTAGTGAAATTTATGTTTTCCCTCTCATATGAGAGATTGGACTAATACCAGTGGTGGAATTTTTTTGGCTAGGTAAATAACACACGTTTTGTTTTGCTGGGACTCGATCTCTTTGATTTTTCACCTTAAAAAATAAGAGAAGATAATTTTAAATTGCTTGGTTGAGCTTCCAACTTCCCCGACAAGATGAGTGCACCCTAGTTAATAAGTGGATAAATTGAGTTTTTTAATTTAATTTATTTATTTTTTATTTTCACGTAAAACGGATATGACATGAATATACCAAAAAATGAATAACATAATGTATTATCATATAAACAAAACCAAAAAACTAATAACATAATGTATTATCATATAAACAAAAGTAATTTACATTAATTTTATTGCATTAATACAAATATAATTACTAAACTCTAGCTTGGATCTATATGGATATTTTTTATAAAAAAAAGTTGTGTCGGTTAGAAAAAACAAACAAAAATAGGAGTAAATAAATCTTAGCACGCTCCAACGGTGTACGAAATAGAGGTTATAGATAAGATACGGTAGCGCAATTTTAACAGGAAAAAAGGGCAAATTTGTCAATCAAGCTTCCGCTTTCCAATATTAGTAACTACCTTTGACTCTCTCACTCCTGTTCTTCGTCGTCGTCGTCGTCGTCTCCTTCTCTATCTGCGTTTACAGGATCAAGAAACAAATAAAAATGCTCGCAGTGTTTGACAATTCGGTTGGTAAGAGCCCCGAGGCTCTACGGAGCCCACACTCGGACTCGGTCTGTGCGTTGAAAGATGGGTTTTTGGCTCATCACTTCTCCTCTCTGCACCCTGTTTCGGTTACCATCAACCTCCATGAAGCGGGTGTCATAGCCTACTCCATGGACAGACAGAACCCTCTCCTCCCAAGGTTCGATACTCATTTTCACGATCTGGGTTCTTTCTTGTTTTTCTCATTGATTTGATCTTCCTAATTCTGGGCTATACTTTTTTACTTTTCATATTACACACACTGTTATGTAGATTTTCTAATGATCTGAGACTATTCATCTTGTTAATTTTTTGTTGGATCATCTTATATTTCCAATTACTTCCTTGTTTTGCAGCTTGTTTCTCATTCTGTGGGCTTTTTATTTGGCCTATGATAGATGATGTGGTAATTGAGCATATAATCCAAATTTGAAGATTTTTATTTGCCTTCATTTTCAATTTGTTTCATAGTATTTTATCTTATTAGTTATTGGTTTGATATTCTTTATCTTCATTTTCCAATTACAAAACTCTTATTCAGGCCAATTGCTTTAATATTCTTTATTATTGTGACACTTGTTTAGGTGTTTGGATGTCCTGCAAAATGAAATAAACCTAACACTATTAAAAAATCTATTAGAATTTTCAAGATTTCTTGAAGATGCCTTGTTTCAAATTCTAATTTCCTCCAATTTGTTGGCTTCAACTTTTGTGTTGTAATATGATAGTATTGTCACACATTAACTCAATCTCGCTGTTAAACAATATGGAAAATAAAACGTAATGCTTCCTTCAGAATGAACAGCTAAATTTATTCTAATTTATCTCCCTCCGTACCTAATTGTTGATAAATTGGACCTCTCTTATTGCCTGCCCAGCGACGACACTTGTAGTATTATTTTACTTCTATTTGGAGTTCAGTGGGTCATGCCATGATCGGTTTTGGACATGTTGAGGATGTGCTTAGGAGACAGGTTAGAAGAAGAGTTAGGTCAATGTGGAGAGAGTGGTACCCATTTGCTGTTGGTCTTTGCAGCAGACAAAGTTTGATGGTGTGGAGCTCCAAAGACGCAAGTCGAAACATGTGGTGGCCTAACACTTTGTTCATATTATATGGTTCTCAGGGAGGGTTTTTCTGTCTTAAATCTTTCTTAGATGCTTAGGATTACTGGCTCTAGATTTCGTCTAGTAGCCTCTGTCACCACATTCAACAATTCATTTTGTTTATCGAGTCAACCTTTGAATACATCGAATTTCGGAATATGTGTGTCCATTAAGGTTTTTGAGCTTTTATTTTGCTATATATAGTCCATTTTTACTTATTTTTTGCCCCTTTGGTAAGCTTAAGTGACATCTTTTTTTTCACTCTTTTTGCCCACACCCGGACTCGAATCCATTCCCTCCTCTTTGACGATGTGCTTAGGAGACAGGTTAGAAATAGAGTTAGGTCAATGTGGATAGTTGTAACCATTTGCTGTTGGTCTTTGGAGCAGTCAGAGTTTGATGGTGCGGAGCTCCCAAATCGCAAGTTGAAACATGTGGTGCCTAACACTTTGTTCATATCATATGGCTCTCGGGGAGGGTCTTTATGTCTTAAACCTTTCTTAGATGTTGGGATAGTATGTGTGCCCATTAAGGTTTGCCCCTTTAGTAAGCTTGAGTGACACCTCCTACTTATAAGAAGAAGAAAAAGAAAAATAGTGTTGACTTTGTAGCGGCTTTCAAATCAACTAGAAGGGGGGGAAAATCAAAGCTACAAGTTTCCCTTCGCTTTTTTATTTTTTTATTTTTATTTTTCTTATAAAACACTAATTGGTTGATTACAAGTTCTGTTATTTAGGCCCCCCTTTTATGTTGTTTGATTTCTTCTCTGCTAGACTGTTTGCTGGACATCTTCTGCTTGTTTCAAGGCCACATCGAGAATATTACTCATCTTAAACAACAGTATGGATTAAACAAGACAGCAAATGAAGTGATCATTATCATGGAAGCTTACAGAACTTTGAGGGATAGAGGTCCGTATCCTGCAGATCAGGTTGTGAGAGATATCCATGGGAAGTTTGCATTTATTCTCTATGACAACTCTTCAAAAACTGCATTTGTAGCAACTGTGAGTAGACATTGATATTGTTTTGAAAACTTCCCTGTATAGTTATAAATCGGTAGTTTCACTGGGCTTGCTTTTACCTTCATGTATCACAGGATACTGATGGGAGTGTTCCCTTCTTCTGGGGAACTGATTCTGAAGGCAATCTAGTTCTCTCAGATGATGCAGAAATGATGAAGAAGGGCTGTGGAAGATCCTTTGCACCATTTCCCAAAGGTATAATATATGGACTTTTGTTAATTAGTAATCCACAGTATTTTGAATTTATATTTTAAAAGTCCTATGTGCTTTGGTGGTTTTTCACAAACCTAATTGCTATTTTTAGACATTTTGGCTCCCAAATATGGGTGAATCGAAGGGAAAAAGAATATATACTTAGCAAGGGAATTTTTGTGAAACAAAATTCCCATGGTAAGAGCTACATTTTTATCCTGCACACTTCCATGGCTTTCCTTCTATTTGGTTTCCTAGAAACATACTCGTTTGCTTTCCGTGTTTGTTCTAAATTAAGGGTTCACTTCACTGTTTTTTAGTCAACCCCACTCCCTGAGTAGTTGGGATTAGGATTTGGCTTCTATAGCATCACTTTTACTGCCCACTTCTCATCTCATGGCTATGGTTATTTTCTGTATAGCTTCCTATTTTGAGCATAAGTAGATTACTTAATCAGCATTTCCTTCTATTTCATTATCTCATTGCGAAGGTCATTCCCATGGAGGTATATTATTCAGTTTTCTTATTGTTTTCCTCAGGATGCTTCTTTACAACCTCTGGAGGCTTAAGGAGTTTTGAGCACCCTCTTAATGAGTTGAAGCTAGTGCCAAGGGTGGATAGTTCAGGTCAGGTGTGCGGTGCAACTTTCAAGGTTGATGCAGATTCCCGGAAGGAAACTGGTATGCCAAGAGTTGGGAGTGCCACGAACTGGTCTCAGAACTACTGAACACGTCAAATTTCCATTAGCAATGCTGTTGTTATTAGTTACCCTCCACCTGCCCTTAGTCAATGGCCCTGCACTCTATGTTACAAGGAAGTACTGTAAATAGTAAACAAAGCTCTTGATGCCGCTATACACAATGCTTACTGTTTCATTTTAATCTGATACATCAAGAGCCCTTTCTATGGGCTTCTAGGTTCTCACTCTTTTAAGCAGCATACTGTTTCAGGCTTTTCAAATTGAGTAATGACATTAGTTTGGCAAATTGCTGCCAACTGCTGTTTCTCAAGGCATAGAATTTGTATACATTGTACTATATCATATTAACTTGTCAATGTAAGTTTGATATGTTGTATAACATAACCAAAGGCCAACTAGAAATACTTCATATGCTGCTAACTTTTATATCTGAAATACTGGAATTGTTGCCAAAATGACTTGTATGTCTCATCAATTACAACATATGCTCAACCACATGGCAGAGAAACAGAAAAACTATACTCCTAGTAGATATCAGGAAATCTAAAATATGCACTGGTTGCCCTTTTCTGGTTCCGAAGAAACTTCAGTCCTTTGCATCTGCAATTCCTCCAGGTGTTATCTGAAATACGTGTATCTGTTAAGGACAACTTGAAACCGATATATCAATGCAGGTTGGAAGTTTTAAGTAGCTGGAATAGGATGAATGCATAAATACAGATTGAGAGTGTTTAATTTAGGATCAGCGACCAAAATGACACCAGATTATAGTGGCACGTTGGGTTCGTGTTGAGTCAGTATTTACTTATGATCAAATGGTCACATTTATGATAAAAGATCCAGATTTTTTCAGAAAGTAATTGAGAACTAGCTTAACAGAGGAAGGATATTGCTTCGGCCTCTGGTAGATTTGGAGCATCAAACACCTTGCAGACACGCTGTTCCCCTTTGCCCTTCCTGAACATCAACCTTATTGTGGCTGCATGAGCAAGCACATGCCCTCCTGCTGGCTTTTTTGGATCTGATATGAACATACCTCCACCTGGGTCCGCAATCACTGCAACCATTGTTCAATTTACACAGGATTATTAGAAAGCCTCTAAAAATGCCAGTTTTACAACTAATTTCTCCATTGGAAGAATGACTGTACAAATTGCCCAATACTGATGATATATATTTAACTTTTATAGTTAGAAACCTTAGATATCTAGCAATTAAATCCTTTTAGCCATAATGAAAAAGCAAAGAGAACCTCAAATATGGAGCTATGCTCTGAATACTTTTATAGTATTATTATTACTATCAATGTTTGGTACTTTGAAATCGTAAATCTAATAATAAAACTAGAACCAGTTATTAAACTTGCTAATTGCAGAATCTGTCTGATGTGAAATGGGAATATTTGTGGATGGATGAACAAGCTAAGAGATGTTTTAGATTGGTCAAGGATTACCTTGGTTGGTCATATAGACTGCAACATTAAATTCCTCTGCTATCTTTATTAATCGAGAGAGCATCTGAGCTAGCTTTTGCTGCAGATACCAATCAACCGATGTCATTGAAGAGAATCAACACTTAAAGAGAAGGATTAGTATTTCTATAGTATTTAAGGTATGTTCAGAAGTGAATGAAGTAAACCTGGCGGTCTGCAAGTTCTCCTCTTCCTGTGAAATCCACTCGAAATAGAGCAATTACTGAGTCCACAATCTGGAATGTCAATTCATATATGTATAAGCTTACGAGGCCTCCTGATAGTTCTAGCATTAGGAAAGATTCCATTAATGGTGTTACTCACCAAAAGTCTAAAAGGCTCCTCAGCCATTTTTGCTGCCAGACCAAGTAGCAAGTTGTACTGATGTTCATATGTGTATGCACGGGCATAAATGATCTTTCATGTTACATGAATAAACACAATCAGTTCTGTTTATTTTCCAGATTCAATTGATAAAAAATACAAACATCCTCACATTGTCCAGGACTGCTCCTGCATCCATGCCAAACCTTTCAGCTATAGGTACTATTCGATCAGGTCGGCTACGAGAGTATATAGTTGAGGAGAGAACATAAAAGTTGGCGGGTAGTTGTTAAGATTTCATAAAATATGAACTACAATATATGCCAAATTCTGATGTTATGAGGGATAAACAAACAGAAAGGATACAAAGTTCCTTCAGTATCAATATAAGCAACTTTTCCATTCCCTCCTTTCATGTTAGTGGGAAGCTGCAAAAGCAATTGAATAGCTATAACTAACACAAATGTCACAATTTGGATCTAAATCAATATAGTTACTCTCATACATGAAGGACCAACACTAATCCATGATATTGTTGTAAAACTTAACTTTTCATCCACTGGCAATTGATGCAACAAATAGAGTAAGAAAATGGACCTGTGTAGAAACGCAGAGAGTATGTGCCAGCTGTGTCTTTCCAGACCTGAGACACAGTGTTGATGAAGCATATGGTTAGAAGCTAAGTTCAGAAATTAAACAGTAAAATGTAACTAAAAATTCATTTATAAGTAAAATCACAAATGTGCTTTATTCATTTAGAAATATTTGAACGTGAAAATGGGAGGATATTGTGGTTGTCACCTGAATTCCCCGAAAGCTTCTGTAATTGCCATAGTTTCAATTCCACCTTTGCAAAATTGTAAACACAAAGTAATTACAGCGAACACTGTCAATAAGAAACAACAAACTATTGAATCAACCAAAGCAATCAAGACTGCAAAATTACCGCCTAAGAGCTCATCTAGTGCCTGGCTTCCGGTTGTGATGCGGACTACCGACTTTCTCTGTAAAGTAAACTATAGTTAGTTTCAAATTCATCGTAAAATATGTGAACTTAACCAACTACTCTTGAAGGTTCTGCTAACATTCACTGTTTTCTCTAATTCCAGACTTCCCGCCAAAATTTTGAAAAACGATGCAGATATCAGATCAATACTGAGCTGATATCTGCCCGGATGGATCAAATTTCTACATCCAAAGTTCCTCTACATCTTAGCTTATGGAATAGCTATCGACTGAAATCTAAGAGAATTAAGATCTTACTCTGAGCAGAGCTTCACTTCCGGTGATGTAGCCGAAATTCTGAGAGAAATTCGAATGAAATAAGTTAGCAGAAAATAGTTTAAATGGGAAAAAGTATAAATAATCGCATATTAACGTTTTGGTCAATAAAAAAGCTCTAACCACTAGCTTTTCTGCAGCCTCGCATATCTTTTCCACTTTGGCTTCAGATAATCCTTTGATTCCAGTTAAGCTCTGCAAAGTTGATTCAAGTCTAAGCAAAGCTTGCCAAAATTATCAAAGTTCGAAGGATTTAAACTGAAACATGTCTTTTCACCTTCTTCGTATGCATCATCAAGCCATTGCAGGTGTAGATCCCTGCATCTTGAAGTTTTCTCACATCTCCAGCATTGATTCCATGAGTAGTCACTGCGAAGATGCAAAAATTGGGAACAAACTAGATACATAATAGGCAGTACAAATTCAACTCTCTCCACGACTGAACTAAATCACAAAAATCGACAACTGCTTCCAAAACAGAGATGTTTATCTATATTTACAGACGAAATTAAACTGAAATTCAGATGAACGTCTCACTCAAGAAATCATAAATCCAGCGGAATTCTAAATATATAATCGTAAACGAAGAAGAATAGAAAGGGAAAAAAAAAGGAAAACCTAAATTCTGCAGAAATTTGCAAATAGTAAGAGGTTTGAATTCGAATCTCATCAATCTACCAATAAATTGAAATTATAACTCCAAGCTATGGTGAAACAAAGTGCATTTCGATTAACAAACATGTAAACTCGGCAGCAATACGAGCATGAGGCAACGTGAAAACGAGAACAAACAAAATTAAAGGACATGATCAGAAATAAGGAGAAATCAAAGATTTATCGTTACATTTGTCGATCGCTTCAAACAATTCTTCTTCATCATCGATCTCTTCTCTTTCGACGAGTTGCAACTGGCTCTGTTCTTCGGATCTGAGCTCAAACACACACAGAAAATCAACAAATCATTAGGACTTTGATCTAACACAATTCCTCTATATCTAGAAATCAACCAGATACGTTAGCGATCGGATCAGAGCTTACTTGAAAGAAACCATGTTTGTTTCACTAGAGAGAGAGAGAGAGCGCGCTCTGGTTTTGCGAGTTTGAAACTGAATATTTTGAATTCTGAACACTGTGAAACCAAATTAAATGGCGGAATTGAAGACATTTATCAAGTTTGAGTTAATTCGTGTCTGGGATCCATTTCTATACGGATACACACACATACACTAACGTATTCTACACTATTGGCTAATGGGATAAGTGGCGAAGGTTGACTGTTTGGATATTTTCGTCTTTTAAGATAGTTGAAGTCCCTTAGTAAGGTCAATATGTATATATATATATTTGTTAGGAAATTCTATTTATTGAAAATAAGAAATATTTTTCACTAAAAGCATGATACACATTTTGGCATATAATCATATCACTGCCTATACGTGGCAATTTATTGGAATTATAGCAGATATATATAGTTTAAATATTAAATAAAATAAATATTCAATAACTATAATACTTGTGTAAACTTCTTTGCTTACACTGATGGGCTATTAAGAATAAATTAATCCATAAAATTTGTGTAGAACAAACTAATTTAAATTTTGGTGATCTTTTTCTTTCTTTTTTTAATGTAAAATTAGCATGAAAAGATGGCATAGAACAAAATTGAATGTTTAGTTTTAAAATAAAGCTTGATGTGAAGTCTGAATTACAAGTTCGGTTTATACTGTTACTTTGTACCTCAATGGAAAAATTATCTTTTATATCCTTGAATGCCCTTTATATTTAAGTCTCTTTATTTTTTTGTGTGTTGAATATATGTTCATATTTTCAGAAACAACCGAATTTGTTAGGGTTTTGTGATAACCCTTCATTATAAACACCCATTATTGATAGTGAAATTTCTAATGTAATCTAAGCAAAAACAATTTTGGCGAACCAGATAAATTGTGCGTCTTCTTGTGTATTGTGTTTTATTTTTCCTTCAAAAATTTGGTCTCCATATAGTACTCTTTTCCTGGCTCATGTTTGATGCCTAAGGAAGAGAGAGAGCATTGATCTGTATTTTTTTTTTTTTTTTTTTTGTTTCAAATTGAGATTGTAAGACTTCATTCAACGAGGTTGCTTAATATATACAATGGATGTCATTACATTTTTGTGTGTCCTGTGTTTTCCTTAGGTCATGGATGTTTTCCATCATGAAAATAGCAAGTTACAACAACTGCTTCAAATAGAAGGAATCTAAGATGACTGAAAAAATAGAACAGTAAGATTGTCCATATTTGAATTTCATAACAAGCTGACAGTTTTCTGTATTCAGCTTTTCTTTCCCATTTTATTGTCTTTCTTGTTTTTTTTCTTTAGAAGATCATCTCTCTCAAGTATGTGTAGAGTCGTTAGAACAAAATGTATTACACACATGACAAGTATAGCTATTTGAAGTGCAATTTGTATGGACTAGGACATATTCCTTTTTACATATTTAAAAAGTTATTGTGACCGGAACGGTCTCTCCTCGTGCTGAAATAAGGCTGCCTACATCTACATCTTATGCGCCCCTTTTTGGTTTTAGGGTTCTCAATAACAAACCTCCTACACCACATGCACTAAGATTGTTTCCTTGTGACCAGGAATTCACGGGTTCAAAACCAGAAACAATCAATCCCAGGGTGGGAAAGGTTTTCACTTATCCTCTAGTTTGTGAAGGGAATTGCTAAATATGAAATTTATACCATGATAGATAGGTATTGCGGAGAGAAATGGACCTGTAATCTGGATGCATGCAACTTGCAGAGTCTTGTGTTCCAAAGAAAACTGAAGCTCTAGCACTTTGTAATCACTGATATAAGCTGTACGACCTTACAACTGACAGAATCAATATCTTACATATACAAAGGTGACTCTACCATAACTGTTGAACAACCCTACACCACTCACCCAGTACAATTTCTTTCTTTAATCTAATTAACAATAAAACATTACTCTCTTCACATTCTCCTTCAGGGCCGGCAGGGGCCGCACACCGGACTCTCCAGCTGCTCGTGTGCCCTTGGCAGCTTGACCTGCACAGCTATTTTCCTGCATATATGGTTCCATGTAGAATCTTGCTCGAAATGCCGCTAAGTGCGCATAATACGCCGGAGGAACTGTGCGCAATGATCCGTGAAATTAATCATTAACAGATAATTGAAACCCTACTATAGACAATGCGAATAAACTTGAATTAATGATCCATGTGTTAATTTTAAGCGTAAGAGCATACAATTCTAAATGAATTGTGATGTAATGAGGCGCTACTACTCTATGGGCATGATTTAATTCAAGTGGCATAACTCAAATGCCCTTTTAAAAGTTTGACCAACAACTTATCGGGGGGTAAAAATGGTTCTTGACAATACAGTACTCGGGGTGAGTTTTGGTCACTTTATTCATTTTCATTTTTTCCCCCTTTCCACATAATATTCTAATGCTTCAACTGAGGGCCTACAGTGGTGAGTGAGAGCATGTTAGGCTTTCAAGAATTCTTCTTGTTCCTCCAAATCGGAGGACATTTTTGAAGCTGAGGTAAATGATAATCATGGTGTACTGTTCTCATGGTGTCTGTCATGGCCTTCTTATTCGTGTTTTTGGAAGTACTGAGCTTAAGCGGCTGATATGATATGCAAATTAATGAGCAACCAGGTAGAGGAGGAGGAGCAATGGCTTACCAACAGAGACAGAACGCGTGCACCTGGCATATGTGTAACAGAGATTGTTGGTCAGTGACTGGATCCCATCTGCTGTAAAATTATTTTCATCCCATAGAACATGGTAATGAGCTGGCCGACTAGTTCCCTGTCATATTACCAAGAAGTAATGATTCGTTAATTTTAAATTTCAGAAATCAGTTTCTATTTAATTTTAAACTACAGGAGATTAAGATTTTTACACAAAATGAATTATCCCCCCTGTGAAATATGGTAAAGAGTCCTCCCTATCGGTCCCTTCTGTTTCAGGTATCTCACCCGAAGAAAGAAGTTCCATTATAACCATAGGACCTTAAGATAAGTTAGTGACCAGACTGAGGTCAGAGTTGGACCTCATCTAAAGGTGTGTAGGTCCTCCCAGAAAAGGCAGAAAAACAATATCAAGTAATTTAACAGATAGTATCATCTTCACAACAATAATGCAACAAGTTTAAGTTGTTCTGTTTGCACATGAGAATACCAACAAAGAGTTTTTTAACAACATTATTTGCACATGAGAATACCAACAAGAGATTTTTTAAAGAAATTATTCTTTATTAAAATGTTGTTTCACCATCTTCAGAGCTACAAGACTAACTGCATATACTTTTCTAATCCCAAATGCAAATGGAAAAAATGAAATGAAAAGAAAAACCATGTTTTTACCTGAATACCAGCATGGCTGCAGAGATAAAAGTCAAATTCCGTAGGATGACAAATTTTAGAATCAACCACAGTGCCTGAGAAAACAACAGCATCATTAGATAGATTTTAAATATATATATATATAACACTAAGAGTGACATTTATGTATATTTATGTTAGGGGTGACAGCTTTCCAATGAGTAAAATATTACCAGGCAAAATGTTTCCACTTTTGTCGGTGCTGCTCCGATCCCTATGGTTGTTGGGAAACAACCGGGTGTGATGTCGTTTTTGTACCACAATGAAAGTCACTGGCGGTTGATAGTTCGGTTCTAAAGACGCACAAGCCTATATAGATATCATCTTATCAGGGCCACAAAATTTTCTACCTTGTTTCTGATAATTTTTAGAACAGAATAAGACAGAATAAAAAAAATAAAGCAGCACTAACCTTCCGAATCGCATCTAACTCAAAAAGTAGGACTTGGTAAAATTGCCCTTCACTCACACCATCCCTGCTCAAATTTTTTTTCAATTAGAGATTTGAATTACAATCATGGAATAAGTTTATGATGCATATCTGTATAGAATCCAACTAGGCATTTTAGCATGCAGGCCAACAATACTGACATATGAATTTAGCGACACTTATATACACTTGAGCTCAGAGGCAATTACATGCAATCTCCCATGTATACATGCATATGCACATTAGAAACATCTCATGGTATTGAAGTACAATGGACTCTGATAAAAATGATGTTTATGGTTGTTTCGCGTCAAAGGCGATGGCAATGGTAGCGATGATGATGGTGGCAGTAATGCAGGAAGGCAAATTATTGGTGATGGAGGCATAACCAGGCTAGGTTAGGTGGATAATGCAGTGTTGTTCAATCGGTGACAGAGATGATGTTGACGTCAGCAGGAAAACTATAAAGCAGCCTGGAGTATCATACCAAATTGAGACCAAACGAAGGTAGCTGTGAGGTAATTCAAGTGCTCTGTGTCAAGAGACATCAAAAGGCAGGCATGGAACAAATTTTAAAATTGAAAAAGGTTATGAAAATGTCTCTTTCATGACGAGAGTCATGAATCACCTTGTTGATCACTATCGCTGGATTAAAAAAAGGTATTGAGATTTGTGAATAAAAAGACAAATTCGAAGCAATCTTAAAGTAAAATTCGCAATCTAAGATCTAATAAAGAGAGCCCATGATCCTTGTCATGGGAGGAACCTCCAGGTTGCATTTTCCTTGTAGAAAATACTTCTAAAAAATCAATAGTTTTAGAAAAGTATATTAACCTGTAAAATATAATCCTCAGTGGTTTTTGCCCTGTTGCTTTCCGGAAAGACACCAGAAGATCCCTGCATTGACAGAAATGTAATATAAATAACGAACCCTCCCACCACCAAAAGAGAATAAAGAAAATAATTGTACAGAAAAAGAAATATTTAAATAATGAGAAGACCAAGGTAGCAGAGGTGAAAGGTCTATACCGAATCATGCCACCACAAACTGTGCCACGAACAGGATCGTGCCATGTCTTGTACAAATCTTGTATTAGTTCCTGTCTATGAGCTTGAGCACATACCAGTCCCGCATATTTTGTAACTTCAGGCCAATCCTGAGATGCTACAACCTACAGTGGAACAACTTCTATCAGTAACAAGATCCTAAACCTACTTACGAGGAAAAAGTGGGGAGGAGGGTTCCCATGGTCATTGCAGGAAAAAGTTTCTAAGAAGCATGATATCAGTTAAGGAATTTTACAGCAGCTATCGAGGGGCTGGAGTCTTCTCCATTCTCTGGGTGAGTCACATCTGCTCCAAATATTATGGTTGGTATGTCACTGACTAACGGTATCCGACAGCTGATAGCATCCAGAAGAACAGTGTTTCTACCACCCATCTGCACTATCAATAAGAACACTTAAAAAGTTGGCTATATTATGAATTCAACTGATCTGCAATTAAGAATGAATTTGATAAATAATGTGAGAAGAGTATGAAAGCCCAAGCTAGATACAGCAATGGCAAATATATCAGGGAAAAAATGTGGATGAAGTTTGAAAACAACATGTCAAACACATGAAATATATCAGCTTCAGGTATGCAGGCATTCTCAGAGAGTGAAATGTGAAATTTAAACTGGTGTCCCCATAGAATAAGGAGATATATCGCACCTTAACATTGATCTTCAATGACACATTAGCCAAGTATTGCTTGCTAATCTTGAAGACATGTTTAGTAAGACAGCATTGTGATATCAAACCGAGATCAGTTTCACATATTCGTTTCAGATCACCTAGAAATCCAGAATAAGATCAAACTTGTAATGTCAATAAATCTTCAATTTCAATGCAATTCAAACAAAACAAGTTCACACTAGACATACCATATAGAGACCCATTGTTGTCTGGCAAAATAACCAATACAAGCTCCAATTCTTTCCCTTTGAGTTTGTTCATACATGCATGATAAACATGTTTTAAAGCTTTCTCTACTTGCTCAGGCCTGGCTGAATAGATTGGAATCACAGCCTCTGGATTGAATTCCTACAAAACAACAGCAGATTGCAACTTTAGAGCAAAACAAAGAGTTATTGACCTATAAAACATACAGAAATAGAACACACACACACACACACACACACATATATATTAAATAAATAAATAAGTATATATATATACTACCATGCCAGAAACTTGACACATTTGAGCCAGTTCATTGCAAAACCCACGAGCAACACCCTCTTGCACGCTCCGTGAGAAGTTGATACATGCCCACCGGCTAACAGTCATCCCATTAATCATTTTCTGTTATATACAAGATCAATAGATAAGTTGCAGAAGCTATATCAGCCATAAATATTCACCCCTTTTATAGTGAGAGAATATTGAAAGACACCCAAATCAAAGAATGTATAAATTCAGGAGCATTTGGAATTTTTCTTTAAATTATAGATGAGATGAATTAATGTTCAATCTCTCAATTCTGACTATCTTAGTTGAACAACAGCAGATGAACTAAATCACTTTTATACATGTTGATTAGTAAGCTGAAGTTAGTCGATCCTTGCATGAAAATTAAAGCAACTTAATACAAGCACATTTTTGCTTAGCCGAGAAAATAAAATAAGGCATTCTCCAGAACAGGAAAGAATAATACCTTGTTCATCATATTCCACTGACCAACTTGAGGCAAGCAATCCCTTTCCTTCCCAGTTTCATGATATTTCAGCTGCAGATAAGAGTAACATCAGTCAGTGGTGAAACATCCTCATTCATTTAAAGATTGAACAAAGAGATTTAGGAAGAACAGTATTACCCAAGGAGCAGGGAGAACTCGAGCCTCTACTGAAGCGAGTTTTTCACTGATTTTGATCCCAAACTCCTTCGCATATGGATCTTGATCATAAGCATTATGTCGAACTGTCTGTTTGCAATTGGAAGAGCACAAAGGATAAAACATAACTTTTCTTAGGCGTGGCCAATTCCCAGAAACATCAAAAGATTCACAAAGTAAAATTATTTTAAAATAATGGTTTGTAATTTAAAGGATCCTTAAACAGAAAATAAGTGTATGTGCTCAATATAATAACTTTATGTCAAGTAATTTTCAACAGTTCCCTCCTCGCATTAATTTTGATCCTACTTAAGTTAGGGGTATTACATTAAGTGACTTTGATATTTTTTCCCACAGTGATATAGTGTTTCATGTAGAAGGTAGATTCTGGTCATAGTTTTAAACCAATAATGTTTTCAAATTAAATATTTCAGTGAATTTTAATATCTATAGCTACATTCCCATCATGTAATCACATAGATCATAAACTAATAAATTTAATAATGCTCATGTGATTGCAAGGTGCCAGAGGATAGTAGCATACAATATTAGGTCTTCACATTTATTAAGTTATTTAATTTTTTTAATGTACATGTGATTGCAAGGAGCCAGAGTATACCATATTAGGTTTTTCATTTATTATGTTATTTGGCAATACAATAGTGGACTAAATAAAAGTTCTTTTTTCTTCTCAACATCAGTAACCAAATGGAACATAAAACGATAAACAAAACATGCAGCCAATAATTCGCTGAAGTTTTTCTGACATTACCAAAGTAAAATATAGGCAAGATTTTAGTATCGCAGATACCTGCAAAATGTCATTTTCTTGATCCCTGGGCCTTTGGCACGTAACTTTCAAAAGAGAAGTAATTTGTTTCTCATTCAATCTTTTTGTATATCGTTGTCCCTCAACAATCTTGCAGGCCTGCAAACCAACACCCAACAGATGAGATACATGTTCTGAAAAAGGGAATGTAATTGAATCCATCAGTAGGAAATGAAGTACTTGTAGTGAGTGTCAGCTCTTTTACCTCCATGGGTAAATAGTTTGCCTTCTTCTGATTTCCTACTTGAAGGCAAGGAAGATGTGTATGTTGAATTGTGAAGCCATACATTTCTTGGAAGTACTCAACAACTGATTTCATGGTTGAGTTGTCATCAACTGGAAACCTGAACAAAAAAACAATGGCAGATTAGACATTTATGCAGGCTTATCAAGAATCCACGAGAAGAGGAAAAAAATTGCAAGTGAATAGTGATTTGATTCAAGATGAATGTGATAAAATGACAAGAGAGAGACTAGGAAAAAAAAAATGAGTGCTTAAGTAATGACATATACATGGAGGTTGAGAGTTTGAATCCCCTTGGGGCCACCCCCAGGGAATTTTTCGGGTAATTGGTTGGTGCATGTGGGACCGGGGGGGGGGGGGGGGGGGGGGGGGAGGACTACATGTGCCCAGGATTATGGGGTGCTCTAAAAAGTGTGACAAAAGAAAAAAAGAAAGAAAGAAAAAAGGTAATGAAATATATATGGAAGCCTACGAGCTAGTAGAAGATATATCTCTTGATTGGGATGAATGCTGAAATAGAACCTAAGCAATAAGTAATGAGAAACAATATAATGGTCTACATGTTTCAATAAAAATGGCCAATGGAACAGAACTACTGAAGAAGCCAACGTAGTTGACAATTAGCTTTGTTATTGTTGTTGTTCTATACCCCCTACTCCTTTTATCTTAGAATTGAATAAGATACCAAAAGTTAAAAGAACTCTTTGAAGGAAAAAGAAAAGATTCTTACACCAGTTCTCTTGTGGGCTGAGATGTTAATCCTGAAACACGGTACTTCCTTCGTACAGTACCCCTATGTGTTACTTCAACCTTCACTCCTCTAAGGGCCTTTTTGATCTGGCAGAAATTGCAAGGCAAAATTTAAAATTGAATAAAAAACCAAGGAAATAACCAAGCCATATCACCAAAAGAAAGATCAGTACCTTCACTCGATCAGAATCAGACAATGGCCTCGATAACACATCTTTGCCAAGAAGCTGGCCAACAAACTCTATAACAGGGAGAGCCTCAATAAATGCAGCCGAAGCCATATCTGTAAACCAAGAATATAGAAAAATGACAATTCGGAGAAAATTATTTAATGAATGAACAGCAATATCAATAACAATTAAAATTTCAACATATTGTGGTTTAGTTACCAATATTTAGAGACAAACCCATCTGGGTGGGTCTTATACTCTGGTAGAATCCACACCATGACTCTAAGCCATCACCAAGCCTTTGAGGTTTTCTAATATCAGGCGAAAAGAATGATCTTCCAACAGGGCAGTACCTTTAAAATACACAAAATATGAATGAGAACTCAATTTGAGCAATTCTCATCAACTGCCACGTATATAGATCAAATGATCTCAAAAACATTTGAGAGGCCATACCTCTTTGTTGAGAGCTCTCTCAATACAATGTCTAGAATTTGAAGAGCCTCTTGTGGAGCATCCGCGCGCTTACCAGCAAGAAATTGGCCCAAGTGATGCAAATTAGCCTTTGCAACAAACTTGATCACCACTTTGTATACCCTCTCCCTTCTGAAAAATTGTTCAAATGTCCAATTAATTTACAACATAGAAAATAGAAAAGGACATCCTTCACTTTTATATCTGTAATTTGTTTTTCATTCAATATTTTCCACCTAATTTGATTTAATAAGAACTTAAAAGAGGAGTAACAAAAAAAAAAAAAATGGCACATTTACATTATAAATTGGTGGTGTCCTTACCTGGGACCATTACTTCCATCTTCTTCATCTACAAGTTTGATGTTGAACTCCTTCCAAGCAAAAGGAAGCTCACCAGCAGTGTATAAGCTCTTTCTGCCATCATAAGCAGGCAGTCTCATCCCCAAGTCAGATTCTTTATGCAGTTTCACCAGCTCTGCTATGATGGCTCTGTTCACAGTTCTTGATGCAACTTCTGGAGTTATTGTAACCTGCAAGTAGCAGAACACAGATGATAAATAAATAAATAAATAAATAAGGCATATACAGAGAACAGAACAATCAGAACAATATTAATGACCAGGTTTTAAGACTTATTAATGCTAGTAAAAGACAAAGAGAAAGCAAAGGCCCATTCATTTACATCTGCAAAGTTACAGCAGATATAAGAAGAAAAAAACACCATAGGCATACTGAAATGTCAGCTTAAGGGCCCCAATTTTTAATTTTTTTTGCAGCTGTATATTCAACATATATGTCTAATGTAAACCAAGCAAAGAGAATAGCTTACATCATACTGGTTCAAGTCCTTGTCTGGTAACTCTGCAAAAAAATGGTTGGCCTTTACAATACATCTTGTCCCAAGCTGCCCATGACCAGGTCTAGGGGCAAAACTCAAAGACTTGCTGGAAGAAGGAAAACCCATCTCTACATCACACGAGTTGCTCCCATTTCCAACTGACCCACCATTTGGTATATCTGCTACATCAGCCCCAGCCGGTTTCGCCGCCAAGATGGGCTTATTCGCGGCGGTGCAAGGCCTTGAACTCGGCCGCATGAAAGCGTCGCCTTGATCGGATTTCCGGCCGCCTCTCCCCCTTCTTCTTCCTCTGTTTTTTGATGGAGGTGAGGTTTGGTTATGGAGTTTGGTGTTGTGGTGCTCTTGCGTTGGTGGGCCTTTGCCATTTTGGGCGGCTTTGTGGGGCTTCTGAACTGGGTTCATGGAGTTTTGTAAGTGGGGTTTGATCACAAGGTGTTGTTCTGAGCTCTCTTTAATCTGCCTAATGGGCATGATGAACTGATATGCAAAGCACAAAAACCTGTCCCAATGAAAGATCCTTCACCAAATAGCACACCAAGACACTGCCTTCTCTACTAGTTTTGGTTCACTTTCCTTCACAGATTTATGCCTATTTTCACTGAAAATCCTGAAATAGAGACCAGTAAGACATGTCAGCAACATGACCCAAATTGAAAAAATAGAAAAAAATATGCAGTATGATGATAATGCATCAGACTTTCACAAACAAAAGTAAAAGGGTACACATGAAAAACCAGTCTTTATTGCAGACCAGAGACATTACCCTTCCTTTGCAAAATAGATTTCAATCACAAAACCAAAAATACTTTTTAAATGTGTGTGTGTGTTTGTGTATGTGAGCCATTATCCTCTAGAATCCACAAACAAAAAATCTTTTTAGTGTTCTCACAGTAATGCCTGACCTTTTATCAAAAAGGCAAAATAATAAGCGAAAAAAAAATTTATATGCATGTTGTGTATTTTGTTGAATTTGCGCTCAAAATCTAAGAAACCCACCACTCCAAACAGAAACCCCCAAAAAAGAATTTGTAAATAAAATCAGTTGTGAACTGGGAAAAAACATATATGTGGAGACAAAACTAACCATTACCCAAAAACCCAATCCTTCTTCTTCCATGCTTCTCTATGAAACCCAATGACCACGAATCATGAAGACTATAACCTATCTAGATACATATATAATATTTGTATATATACTCGTATAGGTGTGTATATATATATATAATAATAATAAATTAGACAAATAGTGGCAATATCTAGAAGACAAAGTATTCTTTCACCTTGTCCCCTGACCAAATCCGAACTTTCATCAGCAAATCACAAAATAGACGAGTGAATCCAAGTGAGACATAACACACACACACAACACACATATATATACTTGTATAAATTATGTGATCCATGAGAGAATAAAACCCCTAAAAAAAAAACAAAAGTAAAGTAACAACGTACGTAAACATATAAGAGTGGGCAAAATTACCATTGAAAGTACCCAATTTCACTTTCAAAGAGAAAACAAAAATAAATAAAAGGTACCCAATTTTCCTGCTACATAGAAAATGACCCAAGAGATGAATATACAGTATGAAGTGTCCAAAGCTTACCCAAGAATTTGAACTCACCAACCAGCTCAGTGAGAGGCATTAAAAGACAAGACAAGAGCTTGAATCCACCAAAGCAATGAGCTTTAATCATGAACTGGGAGGGGCTCAAAAGATAAACTGCCAAAGAACTTGAAGCGCTAGAAAGTGGAGATAAAAAGAAGATGGTTTAGTGGGGTGTGATTGATTCTTCAGGGTCATGTGTGTGTGTATATATAGAGAGAGAGAGATCAGAGAGAGAGAGAGAGAGAGATGATGATGATGAATCTTATACACGCATGCAAGTGCTTTTGGTGTTTTCTTTATCACGTGTAAAAGGCTTGTGAAGGGCCAGCGTCCTTAGCTTTTTTTTAATTGCTTCTCTCTCCTCTCTTTCTCTCTCTAGAACTCACTTTCTCTCTCCTCCGTCCTCCATCCTCCATCCCATTTGGGTTTCTCTGGACTGATCGCGCAGCCTCGGGGACATACATGGTGTATTATAAAATACAATTTTGAAGCGCGCACACATATATATATATATATACACACACAAACAAAGAAAAGAAAATGAACTACTTATGATTAAAAGAATACACAGAAGAAGAATAATTCGAACTTGCAGTCCTCTCTCTCACGCAGACTTCTCAGTAAGTGCTTCATTTTCTCTCTCTAGAACACTTTATCTCTCTACAAATACAAACACTTGTTAGTTCTTTCTCTCTAGTCCCTATATGTATGTCCCAAAATCTTTCTGTGTACAACCTAGCCAGCAGCTTGGGTAAGCTGTAGCGGTCGGTCCAAGTTCAATATGAACTGGGCCACTTTAGTGTGGTCCACTTTATTCAAGGCCTTATCTGCTTTTCTGATTCATGGTCTAATTACCTGCGTCTCGAATGACCAAGTTAAAGTGTTCAACGTCTTAATCAAAGTGGGCTCACAATTGGGGTTTTTGATGAAGGGTGAGAAATGTCTATTGGGACCAAGGATTAGCGGGAATTAAATGGAGACTAGGGTGATATGGTGGGTTGTGAAGTAGCTGATGTTGTCCTTAGAACATGAGTAGTTTGTGAGACAAATCAGAAGGGAGTAATGGTACATATCATGACATACTGGACTAAGAGGCGCAAAGGCAGGATGCAATTCAGAAATTTACTTGATTTAATGGAGAACCACTCATTCTAATTTGGATCGTTGTGATTGTTAAATCATTACCTATAATTCACACTTTTGAATGTTTTGTTGGTGGATGTTTTGAATGTTTTGTTGGTGGACCTTTGACTCCCTCTATCTAAGAAATACGAATACAAATATAATATAATATAAATATAAAAAATACAAATACCAGTATGATATAATATGAATATAAAAAATATAAATATAAGCACGATATAATACGAATACAAAAAAAGAAATTTTTTGAAAATGAAGGCAACATACATAAATACGGAATGAATACTTTTAAAAATAATAATAATATAATATATTATTACATACTTAATATATAAAAAATAATATTTTTTACCTATTTTATCTATACAATCATGAAAGAGTTAGATATTTTTTAATTTTTGTTTTTTCTTAAATTTTATATTAATTTTTTAATTAATTCATATTATATTTTTTATTGCATTAAATCCCTTTTTTTAAAAAATAATAATTATATAATCATCTCGTCATGTCTTGAAAGAATTCAAAACGTGTCCACGTCATGTCTTAATTGTATTCAAAAAATAAAATATTTAAATTTTAGGACACTTTTTATAATTTTAATCACTACAAGTAAATATAATTTTAGTGATTAAACATTAAAAAGTGATAGTGTGTGATCGTGGTCATTGTAAAAGCAATAAAAGTGAAGCGACGGCTTCACCTTAATTATTGCAATACACATACTATGGTAATTGCTATCATTTTTTATGTTTGGTTATTATTCCATAATTTTTCCTCCAAAAAAAAAATTATTATTATTATTATTATTTTTGTTTTTACTGACACCGGAACTCACTTGGATAGGACCTTTTCGGAATCCCTATACTACAAACCGGGAATAAAAAATAAATAAAATAAAATAATTGTTTACAAGTTGCATTAACCATATTTAGTTCACTTACTTTGACCCATTATGAGTGATGATGTGTTTGGCCTTTAATCACAACAAATAGCAACAGTCTGTATAAAATCTTAATGCTATTTTTTTTTTTTTTAGAATAAGAATGTTAAATTAAAAATTTAAGGTGTGAAAGTTCCAAATGGAACTCCCAAAAATAATGAAGAACGATTCAACCGTTGGACAAAGGCGTTGGCTGGTAACCAATTCAGTAGCCGAAAGTCCATTGGTTTTGACATTTCAGAAATTGCAAGGGATCGAAGAAGTAACCAAGCGCATGAGGTCAGGTGAGTGATCCAAATTCATAGAAATGGACCACTTTAGTTGGGTATTCAGAGAAGAAATCAAGAGAAAAGGCCAGGTGTGTGCGATCATAATCATTGACACAAGATCTCTGATCATGAAAGGACTATTGTCCATGGACCAACTTAAATAAGACTGTACCTCCTGTTGGATGGTTTTTGGTGGCATGCACACAAAATTCCACCACACAATAAATGCATCAAATCATTACACCTACAGATATATATATATATATATATATGTATGTGTGTGTGTGTGTGTATAGAGAGAGAGAGAGGGTATGGCTATGGGGCATGGGCTGGTTTTGTTTTGATGTTGGAGGAGTTGGACTTCTCATACTATTTGATTACAGAGGAGGGTATAATAATAATAAGCTTACAGAGACTATGGAGTGGAGTGATCGAACACAGTTACAAATGATATTACGAGTCTATGTCATGGATGGGCTATAGTTGTTGTGTTGTGAGTTGGGGGTTTGTTTTCTTACTCCGTATATAATAAGAAGGGTAGTGGAAGGTATATTGTGGGTTGTGGACAAAAAGGAGGGATATTTGAGAGAATTGGTGGAGTTGAGTGGGGTTGTGGCCTGAGAGAGAGTGGAGTTTCCCATGTATCCGTTTCCCAAGTAAGGAGGAAAGTGCGTGTGGTGGGACCCAAAATTCACACACACACACACACACATATATATATGCACACACATATACGGAGTATTAGTATTACCCTTTACATATACTACATTACAAAAATTTGTACTTGGGGGAATGAAGCATCTCCCAACATTATACTGCTCCATTGCTGGCTATGATTCCACCCATCTCAATGTTGGGTGGCTTTGTTGGGGACATTGTGCTTCTGTGCCTAAAAGAAATACTAATTAAAAAGATGTCATGCATGTCCTCTATAGTATACCCTACGCCCTCTTGAAGTGCGTTTAGGACACACACAATCATGGTACTTTAATTTCATAGTAATAAGTGCCCCTAATAACATGGCAATGGGACATGTTAATAAGGTCATTGGCCCTTATAGCGTGGGGCAATCCAAATGGGCAACCCCTACGCTTTTTGTATTGTTTAAGTTCGGCGACCCATCGCTCTAACAATAATGTCTTCGTATATTATTGGACAGTCATAATTATTCACACGTATGTAAATAAATAATCGTACTGACTTTTATATAACAAGTGTTATATTATATGTCTAATTTGTAAACTTATTTTTGTATTTATGTTTGGAAATTTATACCTCGAAAGTTCTTGTTTGAAGCTCAAATAGTGGATTGAGACTAGACTGAAAAAAAAAAAAAAAAAAAAAAATTGTACTCATAAAAACAGTACTATAACATGAGAAGTAGAAAGTATTTTTTTTTTACTATTCTTATTAAAAACAGACTTGAGATATATACATATATATATATATATATATATATATAATTACTTTCATCTTATTATAATTGTCTATTTCATAAATTATGACACACAAATTTGATAAACTGTAACTCAAAATTTTCTAAGTTAACAATGTAATAGGTTAGAGGGAGTTTATACTGCAACACGCTTCATAAAAGCAAAGATAGTTGCGGTAGTACATGTTTGGATGACAGGTGCAGGTAGTACTGTAGTAGACTTAGTTAGTACTTTAATTATTACAATTGATATGAGGCTATATATGAGGATAGCATGAATCCAATGCTAGCCATCTATCCATCCCTACTTTGTGATGTAGATATTAGCATGACAGTACTTGACACCTATGGGAAGTAGCAAAGTTAGTGATTAAATTAGGACCACTGACCCAGAACAGAGGCTCTTCTGGCAACCATCCAAAATCACCTTTTTTGTTGTTTTTTTTTTTTTTTTGTACAATCACATTTTGAATTCCATACTATACCTTTTTTTTTCAAAATTATAATAGTAATTAATTTAGTTTTAAATGGGGAGGCGATATTTCGGCTTTACTTTCTTTAACTTGTACTGCACTAGCTGTTTTCAGTTACATGATAGAAAGGTATTGCTCAAAATCATTCCAATATTCTTCTTCTTCCTTTTTTGCTAGAGTGTAATATTTTCAATAACTAACAATGCAAGTGTTTAAATAATTTGTTTGTATTGATTTTCCATTTTACTGTATTCCAATTTTTTTAACTAATGGATTCTAAATAACATTTCTTTTAATCAAATAAAATATTCACACACACTCACAAATGTCTACGTATGAGATCCAATACCTCAATTTTTCTTTGAGAAAGACATAATCCTGAATAGCATCGTCATCGTAGAATTGCTAAATCATGATATCCCTCACTTTTTCTTTGAGAAAGACGATAATTTTAAATAACATCATCATAGTAGAATTGCTAAATTATAATTCTTAGAAATTATTTTAAGAAATTATTATTGCAGTGTGTGTTTGATTCAGTTGAAAAATGAAGAAAGTAAAGATTGTTTGGGATTGAAATCAAAATGAAAAATGATGAGTCCCTTATAGTATGTTAATGGAACATAATTATTTGGGCATTTAATTAATAAATAAACATGGTTGAATAATAAAATATACAATCTTTATGTTTCACATAATTACTGTATAGTTGTAACCACAAATTTTTGACCATGGTCCATCATGAAACAAAGATTCAATCTACCTCACTGTGGATATGGCCCCTAGTTGTAATGATAACGACTTCAAGGAATGGTATTGATTATACTAGTACTATAAAACAAACTTGCTCATTAGCCCCACTCCATCATTTTCACTCACTTTATTAAATTATTATTATTATTATTATTATTATTATTATTTTATTTATATATATTTTTTTGAGCTAACACGTGGGGCGGCTAATGCTTCCCCCACCAAAAAAAAATAAAAAAAGTAATTACAAGCATAATCAACACCTCTCTCTCTCTCTCTCTATATATATATATATATATATATATGCATATAAATATTGTATTTCAGTGATGAATTGATTAATAGGAATGTTGGGAAGGAGAAGGTGTCATGATAAAAGTGCAATATGGTATGGTTCAAGGAGTTAAATAAAGAGTGTAACAATGTTGATTTTTATAACATGACTTTAGGATACTGTTGAGATATTGTTGTTTATTTTTCCTTAATTTTTTTTATTTATTAATTCATGTAAGTTTATAATTAGATGTGCCAATGCACGCGTGTAAGTGTGGACTATTTTTGTTCTCATTGCCATTAAGATTTAATAATAACCCCTTTAAAAGCCAATAGTTTAAGTTTATAAGCATGCTCAAGTTGTGGGGCAAGTTCTTCCTCCTTCTATCCTATTCAAC